GAGAAAAGAACATTAAAAATTTTCAAAAATGTCAAAAATTCTTGGTTTCTAAAGGATTAACAAAAGTGAACTTATTTGAGCTTGCGGGAGTTGACCCAGAATAACTCCCTCAATGGAAATGAGAGTCCTTTGCTGGAACTGCCAGGGTGTGGGTTCTCCTTTGATAGTTCGATCAACAAAAGAGGCCCAGAGGAAGAATAAAGCCCAAATTATCTTTTTCTATGAAACTAAATGTAGTCTATTAGATTGTAGGAAGCAGTTTAATTGCTGGAAAAATTGGAACTACTGGGGTGTTGATACTAGAGGTTTAGCAGGAGGCCTAGCTCTTTTCTGGGATGAGAGCTTGAATATCAAAGTTTTAGCAACAGATAAAAACCTAATTCATACCAAAATTTCTGAAGATAGTAATAGTAAAGAGTGGAATTGTACCTTCATATATGGAGAGCCTGAAAGGAGCAAAAGAATGCAATTCATTGAAAAAATAAATAATTTAGCTGATAGAATAAGGGGATCTTGGTGTTGTATTGGGGATTTTAATATGTTGTTTAACTTGGATGATAAGATAAGGGGAAAAGCAATTAGGGTTGGTGAAGTTAGAAGAAACAGAGCTATTATGCATGATTGGAGTTTAGAAGAGATCCTAAGCTCAGGGCCGAAATATACTTGGAACAATAAAGGGGATAAGGAAGCAAATGCAAAAGAAAAATTAGACAGAGGGCTTTGTAATCTAGAGTGGAAAGAAAATTTCCCTGATGCAAAAATTATTGTTCTTACAAACCATGGCTCCGATCACCTTCCAAAATGCCTAGACACCAACCCAATAACTTTCAAAATTAGAAAGCCTTTCAGGTTTGAAGAAATGTGTCTTACTCATAAAACCTATGCAGATGTTATTAAGGAAGCTTGGACTGAAAAGCAAGGCAACCAAGTTGAGTTCATTGTTCTAAGAAAATGTGGACAACTAAGTAGAATTTTGAGGAAATGGAATAAAAAATATTTTGGGAAAGTCCAATGGTGGATTGAAAATCTAAGAGGAGAGCTTACCAGAGAGAGAAAAGAAAGGATCAAGATATGACCAAGAAAGGGTCAATCAAATTGAAAAGAGCTTAAACGAATGGATAAGAAGATAAGAAATTACGTGGGCTCAGAAAGCTAGGGTAAACTGAATCAATTTCGGGGATAGAAACACAAGGTTTTTTCATAACCAAACAATCAGAAGGAGAGCAAAAAATAGGATCTTAAAGCTGAAAAATGAAAGAGGAGAATGGTTTGAGGGTCAAGAAAATATTCAGAATATTTTGAAAAATCATTTCCAACAAATTTATACATCCTCTTGTCCTACAGAAATTGGTATAGCCATGCAAGGAATCCAACTAATAATAAATGGAGAAACCAATGAAAGCCTAGAAAAAGAGATATCAGAAGAAGAGATTAAAGAAGCCTTGTTCCAAATGGCCCCCAGGAAAGCTTCGAGGCCAGGTGGATTCCCAAATCTCTTTTTCCAATCTTTTTGGGAACTTGTGAATGAGGATGAGGTAAGGGATGTTAAAAAATTCTTCAGCACATGTGATATGAGTAGAAGCCTCAACTTAACCTTTATAGCACTAATCCCTAAAATAAAAAATCCAGAAAATGCATCCCAATTTAGGCCAATTAGTCTCTGTAATACTGTTTACAAGATAATTGAAAAGATTTTAGTAAACAGGTTGAAACCAATTTTGAAGAATATCATCTCAAAAAATCAAAGTGCTTTCATTCCTGAGAGAGCCATTTCTGATAATAATTTAATTGCTCATGAAGTAATGCATTACATGAATCATACAAAAGGAAAAACTGACTTAATGGCAATTAAACTGGATATGAGTAAAGCTTATGATAGAGTGGAATGGGAATTCCTGAAATAAACCATGGAGAAAATGGGCTTTGGGGAAAAGTTCATCTCCTAGATTATGAGCTGTGTTTCCACAGTTATTTAGCAGCTCTTAATAAATGGCTCCCCTTTAAAAAAAATTACCCTCAAAGGGGTTTAAGACAGGGGGGATCCCCTATCCCCCTACCTTTTTCTCTTATGCTCAGAAGTGTTCTCATCCATCATCAAACAGAAAGTGACCCAAAAAGAGCCTCTAGACAACAGGTGAATTACCAAAAATCTGAGGTTTTCTACAGCAAAAACATGCACACTGAATTAAAAAAAGATGGTATCAAATGTGTAAAAAATAAAAAAAGTGGACAAACCATCTATCTATTTTGGTTCTCAACCCCTTGTAAGTAGAAAAAAGAATCAGATTTTTGAGTATATTGCTAAGAGGGTTACAAATAAAGCCAAAGGTTGGAGGGGATCTCTGCTATCTCAAGTAGGAAAAGAGGTCCTTGTAAAATCAGTCTTGACCGCAACCCCAACCTACTATATGTCTTGCTTCCTACTCCCCAAGAGCATATGTAACTCATTAACAAAAAGCCAAAAAATCCTTTTGGTGGGGAGATAAAGAAAATAAGAGAAAGATAAGATGGGTAAACTGGAATCAAATCTGTAAAAACAAATCAAATGGGGGGCTAGGTTTCAGAGATCCTAGGTCTTTTAATCTTGCTATGCTTGCTAAATTAGCTTGGAGGCTTTGTTCTGATTCCACAAGCTTATGGGCAAGAGTGCTAAAAGCTAAATATTATCCTGAGCACCATTTTGCCCATGCAAAGCTTAGAAACCAGCATTCATGGGGGTGGAGGAGCATTTTGGAAGGGAGAAAAGTTTTGGAAAAGAATATCTTTTGGAAAGTGGGTAGTGGCACAAGTATTAAAATTTGGGATGATCCATGGATTCCAAATATAAATGGTTTCAAATTAATGGGGCCAAGACAAGAAAACAATGAGAACATCCGAGTGATAGATTTAATCAATCAAGACGATAGAAGCTGGAACACTGAAATAATAAACTCCTGTGTCCCCCCTACGTTTTCCCAAAAAATCATTGAAATGGAAATTCCTTCAAACCCATGGGATGATAAATTAATTTGGATGGGGAGCAAGAATGGAAAATTCTCTGTTAGATCTGCTTACTTTTTAGCAAAACAAATGCAAGAAATGAAGAATCAAATCAAAATAAAAAATTTTGGACACTTGTTTGGGGTCTCCCAATTGAACCAAAAATCAAACACTTCTTATGGAGATGTTGTGTAAATGGATTAGCAGTCAAAGAAAATGTTGCAAAAAGTGGTCTAGAAATATCTAGTACTTGTGAAAGATGTGGAAAAGAACCCAAGTCAATCCTACATGCATTGCTCCTATGTGATAAATCAAGATGTATTTGGTTGGGTTCGGGGTGTGGCATTAATCCAAGCTATTGCCAGAACTTCTTAGTCTTCAAAAGTTGGTTTATGAACATTTCCCTTCAGCTAGGGAAGACTCAACAGGACAAATTAGCAGAAATTGCTCTAGTGTTGTGGGGAATTTGGAAAGATAGAAATTTTTATTATTTTGAGAATTATAGTACAAATCCTCTGGTAGTCATCTCCTTTATTTGCAGGTCAATAGCGGAGAGATATCATCTTTGGCAGTAGAGATTAGAAGACTCTTCCAAGACTAGAAAGCTCAAGAAGAACTTTTTTTAATTACCACCAAGTTAGGAGTTTATGAAAGTCAATGTTGATGGTGGTTTTTGAGGCAACTGGACAGGCTTCTTTTGGCTTCATAATTAGAGACTATTAGGGTTGCTGCTGGAGTGTGGGGTTTGGTCCAAGTAAAGCTTCATCGCCTCTCAAAGTGGAAGCTCAAGCCCTTCTAGAAGTAGTTTTTTTTTTCTTTTTTTTTGTAGATGGAATGAACCTTACAGATCTGTGTTTTCAATCTGATTGTGTTTATCTTGTTAAAATGATCACTGATACAACAAGTTATGAAGATCTGGACATCCTCTTTTGTTGTAAGGATATCCAAGAAATCATATCTAGAAGGAAATACAAAGTTCAGTACTGTTTGAGAGAAGCAAATCAAGCAACTCATGTGGCAGCCAAATGTGGTTTTTCAGGGGCTTTTAAATCTCTTTCTACAAGTCCTTTTTCTCTCATTGGTAGTTAATATGGACTTGGCTTTTAGTAATAGGTTTTAGTAGGTTACTGTGTTTGGGGTCTTTAGTTTCTTTGTCTTTTTCTTTTTTTAGTATGTTTTTTTCCTGTTTATGTTCAGTTGGAGTGTATGTTTGTGCCTGTCTTTGTTGTATGTTCTTTCTCTATTTTAATGAAAATCATTTATTCACCAAAAAAAAAAATTCATTATGAGAGAGGGAGAAAGGAATGATGAGGTGGCTCTTCATAAGGGAACAAGAAAGGCTAAAATGAAGAGTGTTTGAGAGTTCTCGGTTGGGGTAAGGGAAAAAGCTTAGGCCTGACCTAAACTTAAGTTACTCGACCTAATATGAGCCCTTCCAACATTTTATGATATATAGATTTACACATTATCAATCTATTCTACATTGAAAATTGGACTACAAAGCTCAACATGCCCAAGTTTAAGCCTAGCTTAAGACGTTGAGTTAAGCTCAAATTGAAGGGTGCAAGAAAGACTAAAATGAGAAGGGATAATGGAAAAAGTTCAGACCATGACGTGGCATCATTCTACTCTAGTATATATATAGTTGTGTAATTTTATAGCATTTATAATAATATAAGATAAGATGGAACTTGTATATAAAAGTGATGGGCCCAGCCCAGCCCTAAAATTTCTGTTAAGCTCAAATTGAAGGGTGCAAGAAAGACTAAAATGAGAGGGGATAATGGAAAAAGTTTAGACGATGACGTGACATCATTCTACTTTAGTATATATATAGTTGTGTAATTTTATAGCATTTATAATAATATAAGATAAGATGAAACTTGTATATAAAAGTGATGGGCCCAGCCCGGCCCTAAAATTTCTGGGCCTGATGCGGACCCGGGCCGGAATTGATCACCAACAACCGCGTGTACCGTACCAGTATTTTTCCTACGGACTCCGCTTTCTGATTGAAAACGTTTTTTTCTGCACGGAAGCGGCAATTTGGATTTTTTCTCTCATCATCGTCTTCATTCCTAACATCGATTGTTCACCGAAACTCTTCTGTGGATCCCTTAACTAAGGCTACAAGATATCGTTAATTAGCTATCTTATTCACCTGATCTTGGTTCCAGAGAGGGAGGTTTGATCGGATTTTGGAATAAGAATAGTTTTTGTTTACCTGTTTGTTTCTTCGTTCGTTGTCTCGTTTGATGGGTCGACTTGAATCGGGCAGAAGAAACGGCTGGATTGATTAGGGTTAGGGTTTCTGTCGTCCGAAGTGGAAAGTTCGAGGATGGCGACGACGAGGTCCTCGAATTCAAACCCCGGCGAGGCAATTGATTCAACACCGTTGCTTGGGAATGCGGCCGGAATTCGAGATGAAGATCGAAGTCGACGGGCTGGTCGGAGACCGAGTTTACGTGGAGCAGCTAGGTTTCTCCGGAGGGCGAGCAGCCGCCGGATGATGAGGGAGCCATCGATGCTGGTTCGAGAGACTGCGGCGGAGCAATTGGAAGAACGACAGAGCGACTGGGCTTATTCGAGACCTGTTGTTATTCTGGATATCATTTGGAACATGGCTTTTGTGATTGTTGCCGTTTCTGTGCTGATTTTAAGCAGAAATGAGTCCCCGTCGATGCCTTTGCGTTTGTGGATTGTGGGGTATGCCGTGCAATGTATCCTTCACATGGTATGCGTTTGTGTTGAGTATAGGCGCCGACACTCATCGCAGTCATCAGAGGAAGGTGGAAATGGGAGTAATGGGAATTTGAGTTCTAGCTCTCGAGATGATGAAGAGGATGCTGGTGACTATACGACCGAGATCCGGCAGGATGAGGATGGAACCAGGTATTGATCACTGGGAAAATTGTTCACTTTACATCCTTTGATTATAGCAATTTATCTTCCCCCATTAACACGAAGGGTTTGATTGTATTGGTCACAATCACGTAGACGTTTTTGCTTTTTATATCAATGTTCCGAAAAGATTTTTGCTTTACAATATAACTGCTGAAATTTCCGTAAACACTCTTAACTCAATGTAGTCAAGGATCACCACATGGTGTATTTGATTACAGTGTTTTCAATGTAATCAAAACTATTTGCCTCCTAACCTCCCTGCTTTACAGCAGTGTTGCAAAGCATCTGGAATCCGCAAATACAATGTTTTCATTCATATGGTGGATTATTGGGTTCTACTGGGTTTCTGCTGGTGGCCAAGCTCTGACACGTGATTCTCCCGAGCTTTACTGGTTAGTGACAAAAATAGATCTTTTCCGGTACAGTTTAAACTCTTTGAGCTTGGTTTGGCTTTGATGACATTATTGCTGATCCTGCATTTTTCCTTTTTTGCAGGCTCTGTATTATTTTTCTGGCATTTGATGTGTTCTTTGTTGTTTTCTGCGTTGCCTTGGCATGCGTGATTGGTATTGCTGTTTGCTGCTGTCTTCCATGTATTATTGCTGTTCTGTATGCTGTAGCAGATCAGGTATTTCAGCTTGATCTCTGTTATTTATTAGTTTGCGGATCATGTTAATATGCTTTAGCTAACTTCTTATGACCTAGAAATTTGTGTGTGTGTGTTGCAATTTGGTTAGAGTACATAAAGAAAATTGAAGCATAAGATTAAGCAGAAGTTAACTGAAGAAATTAAGTAGCAATTCTTATACATTTTATGTAGCCATCATAGTTGTCAAGGTGACGCCTAGGCGACAAGGCACCCTTGGAGGCTCGCCTCGCCTAATTGCCAAGCAGTTTTCTATAGCGTGTTATAACAAATTTTATATTCTTAATTTTTTGAGGTTATAATTATAAAACAGACATTTTTAAACTAAAGTATTCATTTTGTGTGTTTATATACTAGTTTCTTTTTATTATTTTCTTATTTGTTAGGGTTTAATCAACACAAACATTGGTAAATGCTGTATTAATTGAACCCTCAAAGACTTCAAAACCTGAACCAATAAGTAAGGGAGAACATAAAATGTTGTCCAATCAATACATTTTCTTCTTTTTCTTTACTAATTTTGTGTGTTTATATACTAATTTCTTCTTCTTCTTCTTCTACCTTTTCTTTTCTTCTTTTCCTATAACAGAAATAGGGGTTCAGCCTCTATATTTTTTGAATTTTCTTTCTTTCTTCTTTTTCTTCTCATGAATATTTGCAATATGTTGATTTTCTATACTTTAACATGAAGTTTATACTTTTCTTATGAAAATTATGGATATTTATTAAGGAAATATGATTATGGAACCTAGGGAACTACCCTAGGATACATGTTTTTACTTAAAAAAATCCATCGCCTAGGTTGATTAAAAAAAAAATCCATCGCCTAGGCAACTAGGCACCCCCTTGTCACCTAGCCTCGCCTTGGCACCTTGAAAACTATGGTAGCCATTCTGATATTCTTAAATTGAATATATTCAACAAGAACTTGAAGTGCTTAAGGAAATTTGAGAGCACATTTGTTGATGTTTGATAAAATAAAAACCATTTGGTCTTTGAATTGGGAACTATCAACTAGGCTGAAGACAAAACATTCTAAATTTAATTGGATTTGAGAATTGAGACAACCATCTACTGAGAAAAGAGAGCCTAAACTTCGTATCTTGGAGTTAGTGATGCTCTCGGCTTACTGAATCCAAAGTGTTTTACTTTACTAATCACTAGGAGTCTTAAGTGTTCTATTTCAATGATCTGCAGCATCTATCCATCTTGCATTCCTTTAAATAGGATTTGTTCATGTCTCAAAAGTAGAAATGATCATCATTGGTATTTTTTGAAGTTGTTTTATTTAAATGAATGGCTGATTTAAGACTCTTATTTCTTATTTTAAGTTCTTTTACTCCAATACCTTTTTTTTTGTGGTTAAAGAGCAATTAGAATGACAGTAAGGATTTTCCCTCCTGGAAACATAAGGCTGTGTTTGGTTTGAAAGAAAAAGGTAGGGAAACCTATACAAATCCCTTCCTTTCTCCCCACCTTTTCTTTCAAACCAAACACAGCCTAAGGTAATTTACAGTTTAGGTAAAGGAATGAAGGTCTTGCCTAAGCATTTTTGGTCTGTTTAGGTGAGTCAATATCCAGGTGATTGTTGGACCTGGATATGGCTTGGTCTTGCTTTGGTGTTTGTTCTTGCCTGGCTGTTTCAGTCCTTCAGCTTCTACAAGGGTGGACTCTCAAGGGTTTGAATGTAAGGGGCAAGCTGCTTTGGAGGATTTTTCTAGCTGCTATCCTGTGGGCTCTTTGTAAGGAAAGGAACAGCTGGATTTTTGACAATAATTATATGTATTTTCAGTCAAGAACAAAGTTATAGGTTTTCTATGTTCTTGGTTAAGTGTATAAAAGGCTTTAAATGGTGTCCAGTTTTTATTTTTATTTTTTGCAAGCTAGACCTTTTTTAAACTGATTTCTTAGGTCTTTTTGTATATTTCCAATGTACAGGCACTCATTGTACATGGGCTGATGTATTCGGTTCTCTTTCTTTTGCAATATAATACTAAACTGGTAAGAGCTGAAAGAGGTTTGATTGACAAATATATAAACTAAGAAATTCTAAGAGAGGTATGCTCCGAAGAGGAGCCAAAACTATACCAGGAGAAGCATCATTGCCTTATATAAAAAGACTAAAGCCCCTGTTTGGGAACACTTAAAATAAGTACTTATTTTAGGTGGTGGGACCACACAATAAGTGGAGAATAAGTACTCATTCATGTTTGGCAAAAAAGATCAAAACAGTGCTTATATAAGCACTTAAAAAATAAGCCAGAATTGAGTGGCTTTTTTTAAGTGCTATTCAATAAGTATTTATTTCTTTTTTGGGACAAGACTGTCCCCCAACATTTTCTTCATTTTCCAGGGGCTGCCCCCATCTTCAAAAGAAGATCACTGTTCACTTTCTTCTCATCGAATGGAGACCTTAATCAATGGCGGTGATTGGGCACCCTTCCACAAAACCACCGCCTCATCCTCCATCGCTGCCATTGTAAGTTGTAACTGAGTCTTTCTGAACCAACACCTCTATCTTTCTTTTATTTATTTATTTTTCTCTTTCTTTTCTTCTTCCTCCTCTTTATCTCTCCTTTATTTCTTTCTTTCCTCCTCCCTTTTTCTCTTTCCCTCATCTCTTCCTCACACCACTGCTGCAGTGAACGTGGAAACAGGTTCAATTATGCGATAAGTATTTATTTATTTGCCTTTGTGTTTATCCAATTTATGGTTATGCTAAGTTAGGGCTATAATTGCCATTTCTGCAAATATAAGTACTTATGGGATAAGTAACCCACCAAACACTGCAACACAAATAAGTACTTAAAGTAAGTATAACTGTATAAGTGGTTTGAGAAAAGACATCCCTAAAGAAGCTTGCTGAAATGCTGATTGGAAGAAAAAAAGGAATCAACGGCCTGGGCTACCAAATGAGAGGAGAGGGCAAAATTAAAAAAAAAGACCCCAAACTGTAAAGGCTAAAGGCCAAGTGACTTCCCTTGCATGAAGTTCTCCCACTCCTTTAGAACATGATTTTATATTAAGGGACAGGTTGGAAGAAGAAAAGCACTTGTAAATGAAGATAGCAAAGGTGGGAATTTTGAGATGGATGAGCTACAAGACTGGAAAAGTATAGCATTAGAAACTAGTGGATTTGTGGGAATCGAGTAGTGACTAAGATGGTTTGCCCATTTAACATTTGATCAACGGTTGTATATTGATAAGCGATTTCATTCCAAGTTGAGACTTCTAAAAGAGCTGAGGAAAGGTAAGGTTGTAGTTGTGGTAGCGAGGGAAGACCTAAAGACTCATACTATAGCAGAAGATATGGCCCTTGATATAGTTTCCAAATAGGACTTTTGTAACTGAACGTAAATAATCTGTATGGTATCTTATTCAGTTGAGTAGTAGGCTGGGGTTGTCCAAATCATGCTGTCATTTAAGGCTTGAAGCAGAAGTTTGTCAAGGCAAAAAGGATCCAATATAGGAAGTCATGGTTGTAAGCAGCCATTGGTGCAGCTTCTTGGGCTTGGGAGAAAAAGAAGGCTTTTGTTGTTGTAGAATTTTCTATATTATTTAGGGAAGTCAAGTCTTATTTTCACCTTAACTCTTACCGAGGATCCATTTCCTAGCTATGAACTTATGAATAACTCTGCAATTTTATATTGGATCATTATTCAATGAGGGGCCTGTTGGAAGAGGTTGTTCATTTATCCAGTTGATTGGTGTGAGGTTTAATTCCATTGAATGATGTTGAGAAGTGACCCCCTATGTGATGGGCCCTCATTGAACCAATTTCCTTCTGTTTCCTTCGTCCTCTTTGTTTCCTTTATTTCTGTTCTTTATATATTTCTTCAGCCACAAGTAAGTTTCAATAAGCATTTTTAAAATTTGCATTTGGCAATAATGTTATTCATGAGTACCTTAATACCTTATGTTGGCATGTACTCTTTTTTATGGCTGGTTGGTGTTAATTAGCTAAGGAAGTTATGCAAATTTGCATATTTTGCTTTATTTTTGAGTGCTCATGTATTTTTGTTTTCTAGCTTTTTTTTCTGCTCTGAATTAGTTGAATAGATAAGTGGGCAAGTAATATCTTCTGCATGTGCAATATCTAATACAGATTAAACATGAAAAGATAGTTAAAAAGGTTTGGAGTGAAGAAATCAATTCATGGATGAATAATTTGTTACCTTTATAGACAAGCATAGTAATATCAAACTCCAAGTAGGAGAACCATGCCAGAGATGAAGGAACAGTTCACCTTATTTACAGTAAAGATCTACCTTATTTAATATTGTAAAGGAATCCTAGCATGGGAGCACATATTTTCCTCTTAAGGAATCCTAACCTGACCCAATAGGGTCAGATCAAGTCAGGTTTATCATTTAACCTGACCCATTGACATCTTATTTGGGCATAACCAATAAAAAAAGATACTCTTTTAGACATAATTGTCCCCATAATTCCTGCTGTCCTGCAATGATTGGATTGCTTGGTGAACATAGGTGAATTGTAGATTATTGATGACCTAGAATGATTTTGCAGAAAAAAACAAAAGCTTACAGCTTTGATGCAGATTCTAGAATCATATTTGAAGGTCTGTGTATAGAATGATGCATGGAGTGATTGTTGTGGAAATGGCATGAGTGACACAGGAAAGGAAGGGTGGGAACCAAGGAGGCACATAAGGTGGTCATCAGTAGGTTCCTCTGAAGATCACATTTGTAGTCAACATTCTAAGCAAGTTATCTTTCTGCCCTCTCCCCACCCCCAAAACTGATTTGTCAAAGAGGAGTTCAATCCGAATTGTGATATGACCTTTTCTGGGCACTTCCTTTGTATATTTAATGCAAGAAAATTGAGAGTCTTGGTGTACACATTCATCATGAAGTACAACAACTATAAAAGGTACCTCCTAATGTTTGGGCAGTGTTGTCGATGCACCCAACCTGGGTGCATGGGTGAAGGTAGGTGATTGCATTACCTCACGCAGTCATTTAGGTTGATATTCACATAACACATTATCCATCATATCTACAATAGCTATAAGTAAGATCATAATGTTGTTATAATTTAATTATAACCATTTTTACATATAAGTAGTTATAAGTGAAGATCTTAAATATGTTTATTGGACTTCAACATTATAAGAAGTTACTGATAGCATTCAAGGAAATTTATTGGATTATTAGAAATATGGAGGTAACAGTTCATTGGATTTATAGGATGGCAAATAGCTTGGCTGATGCTTTGGCCAAACAAGGGGTAGAGAACAGTTGTTTTGGGTCCATTTGCAAAACAAAAAAAAGTTATTGTATGGGGCTAGGCTAGATGGGCTAGCCTAACAGAGGGTTCCCTTGTATACTTTTGTGTATTTGTTTATATTCATTTAATTAAAGGCTTTAGTTACTGATAAAAAAATAAATTATGATAGCATGTAAAAAGGTGCCAAAAAACAGTTAACTATCTACTCCCTTTCTGTCTGGCTACTTAATTTCTTTGAGATTTTTCAGTTCTTTATTGAAGTTATCTTGGTCCTGCCCTTCATTGATGAAAGAAGTGATTCAGTCCTGGGCCTCATGCATCATTTGATACTAGAATAACTGTTCTGTCCCTGGTAACTTCACAATCTGTTGAACTATTTGGAAGTAGCATAAGGTGGTAACGTTTGCCAGATCGAAGAGGCTGGTGGTTGAGGTTCACATATGTGTGGACATCAGTAACTTTCTCATGGATTGGGATCTTGTGCTAAATAAGTTAAGACTCTTCAGATGTTTTACTTCTAAAGGTTTTCGTTTATAATTGGCTGACTATATTGGGTGTAGAGGGCAGTATATTGTAAAGCTTCTTAGGCTATTTGTTACCTATACTTTTAACTTCATACATTAACAAATGTTTTGATCACTTACATATATATTAGCATCTGGTAATTTTGTTTTGGGTTGTAGAGGTTTTTCTTTGCTCCTAGGAATTGCACGGTGATAGGAATAACTCCTATGTTACAGAGCTCCTCCTCCCAGAAAGTCACACAAAATGTGAAAAGGAAGAAAAGGAAAATGAAGGCTGTTTGCATTGGAGAACCCTCTGAAAATGCTAGTTAGCTACTTGGAACACATTTACTAGTATAGCCATCCTCACTCCTGAGTCCTGACCCTTCCCCTTGGCAAACTCCTTTCCTAGTTCATTGGCTAACCTAGGCAGTGTAAGGCATATGATGGTTTTGAGTCTTTTGACTTTTTTTGGTTGCCCCTAGGATCCTAGAGGTGATCGCCTTGTTAAGAGAAATGGTTTGGATTGTTCTTTCTGCATATGAAATGATCTTCACCATCACTTGACTTTCTTTTCATTCTCAATAATTTTCTGCAACTTAAGAATTGGAACTGTGGCGCCATGGATGCTTAACTAAGCACTCATATTTATGTTTTACTGTCTGATCTATCAGATATAAAAGAATATTCTGTGCTCTTGTTTTTTAGTGTCCAATCCTTTTGAACGATGGCGTTTTTATATCTCATATTTAGTAATATAACTTCTTTATTGCTGTTTTTGATCAATGTTACCGATGCAGTGAAGGGATGACTAATCATTTTGGCTTCTCAATGTGATGACTAGTTGGTGCCTATGCCCCAACTAGTTGATAAAAAAGTATAAATTTTAAAACATTGATGCAATCCCATAAGTAAGTTAATTATACAAGAAAATAATGATATTCAACATATGGTTTAAAGTATGTTTTGCAAACAAAAAGTGTTGCTCAATGGGGAACCACAATCTTTGTTTTCCCAAAAAAGTGCAACCTTGACTATTTGGTGTGCCCTTTGTTGTGGCAACTCTGTACAAACATATTACTGTTTGGATGAAAACTTAGAAGAGCTCTTTGTCTTGTATTTTCTTGTATTTTGTCTTTTCTGTTTATATACTATCATCCAATCATATATGTTCCATCACAAATATTTAAAGCAACAGCATGAATTAACAAAATGCATCCATATTATTTCAAATAATAAGGGATACAAATTACAAATAAACAAATAAAGCTTTAAAATGACTGATTAGATTGACTAGTCATTATCGACTAGTTGACCTAGTAGATGCTTGGTCTTCCTAGGCAACCATTTCATGGAGTACCACCAACTAGCTAGTGAAGCAGTCAGTTGATGACTGATTGATGCTCTGATAACAGTATAGGTATTACTTTGGGCACCTATCTATTTTGTTTCCTGATTTTATGTTAGCCAAGGGTCATTAATGGGACTTTTTTGGTAAATCATACAATAGGATTGAAGAAGGTGAAGCTATTGATCATCTTCTTTTCATCTCATTATCCATTCTTGGAGGGGGTTGAAGTGAGCACTAACAATTCTAATTGAGTTCTCTGGTTTCACAATTAAAGTTGTGTTTTTTTTTTTTTATCAATAACAAGATGCTTTATTAGATAATAAAAATTGTGAAACTTTAAACACAAGAAAGGGGAGGTAAAATATCTTAACTCCCCTACAACAGAGAACAAATTAAAGTTGTGTTCTTTTCTAATATCTCGCTTTAGGTAAATGGCGATTAAAGACATATTGTCTTTGAATTTTAGCCATCGAGGGGGGAAAAAATTCTTGGATTTGTGTTTTTTCAAAACAAAGTGAAGATATTGCATGATGATTGTAAGAAGACCATGCCATCAAGAATATGGGAATAAATTCTTGGATTTGTGTTTTTTCAAAACAAAGTGAAGATATTGCATGATGATTGTAAGAATTACTTTTGAAGTACCTTTTCCCCTTCTTGTTCTCTGTCTCTCAATACAAAAAAGAAAAGGTTATCTCAAATTTCTTTTCTTTGGAAAACCCCTTGGCACTAAACTGGGATTTCTGTTTCCGTAGAGGTTTAAGGGATGAGATCAAGTGTCTTACTAGGCTGCTGAGTCTATTTGCTAAAGTTTGTTTGGATCCCTCTGAACCAGATAAACGAGTTTGGTTACCTCAGCCTAAAGGGTCCTTTTCATGTGCTTCTTTCTTTAAGTCTCTGTCAGTCTCTCTCTCAACAGTCTTTTCTTGTCAAGGAAGTTTGGTCCAGGCCTATTTCCCCTAAAGTTATGGCTTTTTTCTGGGAAATGTTCTATGGGAAAATAAACAACTTGGACAATTTACAAAAGAGAAGACTGCTCCTCCGTCTCTCCCCTCACTGGTGCATTCTTTGTAGATCCCATGGGAAGACTGCTATCATTTACTAATCTCCTATTCCTTCACCGCAGAGTTGTGGGATTGGCTCTTTGTGTTGTTTGGGTGCAGGTGGAGCAGGCCAGCTGAAGTAAGCTTGCTTTTTGATCCTTTTACTTTTGCCTGGCACCAAAGAAGAGGGAGATTAATGTGGAGGTGTGCAAGAGTAATGTTGATTTGGACTGTTTGGGAAGAGAGGAATGCTAGAGTGTTTCAAGAGGAGAGAAATCTACAAGAACTAAAGGAATGCATTTTGAACAGGGCTGTCCAATGGTTGAAATCCTCGGAGCTGTGCCATGATTTCTCCTTTAATGACTTTTGAAGAAATTGGGCTGCAGTGGCAAGTAGCTTTTCCCAAAATGCTAGAAGTGTAAGTTGGGCACTTCCTCCTGTAGGTGTCTGGAAACTGAATTTTGATGGAAGTAGTCCAAGGCAATCCAGGTCCTTCTGGACTGGGAGGGGTAACAAGGGACGAGTTTGACAATGTAGTACTTCTTTACTTGGGTCCCCTAGGATTTGGGGATTCCACTAGGGCAGAACTGTTAGCTGCAATTCAAGGTGTGCAATTTGCTATTCAGTTAGGCATGATTAGAGCTGTTAATTGAAGGAGATTCCATGGTGGTAGTGGGTTGGTTACAGAATTCAGTCTGCAGTGTGGTGTTAAAAGAATGAAACCAAGAGATTCAAGTGTTTAATAAGGGGACTAATTGTAAGAGTACACTGGGTTGGGAGATCAGCCAATGCTATCGCTGATTGCCTAGCCAAGCAAGGGGCAGCCAGGGATCATTTGTATTGGGCACAGTTGTAGAATGTTATTGCCTTGGAGAGTAGGCAGCTCACACCTCTGTAAGAATTCTTGTATTAGTTTTTGCTCTTTAAATTAATATAATGAATTACTTGTTCAAAATAAATGATTGTAAGAATTCAGTGGCAAAGGAGGTCGGGGTTTTTTTGGATTCTATGTTTTGAGCTCATTTGTAAGCTGAATTTACCTGAGGCTGCATCTTGCGCCTCCTTTTGGGATGCCTGTCTATACACTTTCTGTTTAATTCTTAATAAAATTTTACCTATAAAATGAAAAAAACAAAGCATGTTTTCATTTCCAAAAGGTTGATGTGGCTGGGACAAGAAATACATAAAATCCTGTCATAGACTACTCCTACAGGTTATGATTTATTGATCCTAAGGATTTAGACCTATTTACCATTTACTTTAGCTCATATTTAATTGGGCTTGTACCCAAAATAAATAATAAAAATAAAAGGTGAATTAATATCATTGGACCAGAATCTGTCAAGTATTTTCTGCTTTATGGAACATAATATTAAGTCCATCAAGAATTGATTTTCGAAACTAGAAATTGAAGAACTTATTTTTCGGTTGTACTTTTGGAAAAAAGAGTCACACGGCAAAGAAGACATTAGCATTGTAGCTGTTGGCCTAGTTTCCTGGAAATCACAAGGAAAACAGTTCACGTTGATGAATACACCCATAATGGGAGGAGAAATGACTGGCTTGTAGCAGCTTAGACATGGTATGAGAGAAATAAGATCCTTAGCTGGCACATCGGGAGCAGCTTTTGCATGGATTCCAAGATTAGCCAACACAATAGCTGATTCCTTAGCATGTGAAGGAACCAATAGGCATGCACTGGTCTAGGGGTGGGAGAATACCTCTTGAGAATTCTTTTTATTGGTAATAGCAGAATTTTATTGATACAAGAAAAGGGATTTGTTTACATACAAAGAGAAGATGTTCCTATCATCTCTCAGTATTCAGTTCCCGTTGTGCCTCTCCAGCATTTTTAACCACATTTTGTGTTAGCGATCCCCTAAAATAAAAGGATTCTACTCACTTCCTGCCTGGCCAATGTGTCTGCCATGCTATTTGCAGTTTAAGGGGAACACCCCTCGAGTTAGAAAAAGAAAATTTGTATTGGGAAACATTTCTTTAAGGCTGTGTTTGGTTGCAGTGCAATTTTATTTGCACTAGTACAAATGCAAGGGAGTGCAAATGTAAAAAAATGCAATTTTTTGTTTAATTTTGTTTTGGGTTTTACTTTATTCTGCTTCATATCTTAATTTACTTTATTTGCACTGTAATCAAACAAAATAAGCTGAAATTTGAAACAAAAAAATGTCAGAATTTACACTCAAATCATTTGCACTGTCATGGTTTTGCATCAGTGCAAATTTATTTGCATTGCAACCAAACACAGCCTAATTGTTTGAGGCAGCATTTATCTTACTCTAGTCTACATATATAACTGTATATATTATCTTTTAACACATTTTATTTAATAAACATCAAGTTATTGTGTATATGTTTAGTTAATAAAACTCAAGTTACTGATAAAAAAATTGATAATGAGCAACATATCACTAGTCTTCAATACAGAAAGCTTCTGTGTGCATTAGCTGTTTCTTCTTGTGAAGATGGCATATTGGGCAACACTAGATCTGTGATTGAAATTCTTTCAGTCCATCTCTCAGCCTTTCTGAATGCTGTGCATAACCTTATGAAAGCAGGAAGGTGCATCCAAAGAGGATATTGATCAGCTACCAAAGTACAAATTCCGGAGGATTAGCGATTTTGAGAAAATTAGTGGTGAGATACAAGGCCCTTTTGGAGGAATAATGACCGAGTGTGACACTGAAACACCTATTGAACATGTTCTCTCGCTGGAGGATGCTGTAAGTTGCACAATTCTGGTTTTATCATCTTGAATTATACTAGCTTATCAATGCGCTATCTATCTAAATATATTTGTATTTCCACCTGTATGTATTAGTTAATTAGTTCTCAATTCTCATGCACTGAAATTACTCATAATGCTCAGTTTGGAAAGACTGAAAGAGTACAAATGCAAATATGTAGAGTGCAAAACCTTGTATTTAAATGCTGTGTTTGGTTGCAGTGCAAATAAAATTTGCACTGATGCAAAACTATGGCATTGCAAATGTTTTCGGTGTAAATTTTGATATTTTTCAAAATTTACCTTTGGTTGGTTGCAGTACAAATGAAGTAAAATAAGACCTAAATCAAAATAAAGTAAAATCCAAAAACAAAATTAAACAAAATTTTGCAATTTTTTTTCATTTGTACTAGTACAAATGAAATTGTACTGCAACCAAACACAGCCCAGTGCACGAGGCTTATGCCCTTTCATGGATATTCTTTTTCAAGCCTAGAACAACGCAACCTAGATGTTCGAATTGAGACCAAGGTTCTAAATATCGATACAAGGTGCTTTTTTTGTGTTTTATTTATTTTTTCTTCAAAATCAGTTCAGAGGGATTGGTTTAAGTCCTGGCTACTCTCTGAACCATGGCGTGACCCGATACGATACGTAACGATATTTTGAACCTTGATTGAGACTGGCCCAGTTCCTACCACAATTGTTTTATTTTTTTATTTTTTAAATGTCCAGATCGTGTAGCTTGGGTTTAAAGCTGCAACTTGGGCCGGGTTGGCCCGAACCCAACCCGAAAAAATTGGGTTGGGTTGATGTTCGGGTTAGGGTTAGGGTTGAAATTCATGAACCGACTTTACTTTGGGTTGGGTTAGGGTTGACCCCTTAGCCAACCTGACCCAACCCGAACCCGACTCTATAGTATATGTCATATATAAATATATGTTATATGTAATATATAACATACATTGATTTGTTTAGATGCATGATATTTGTATAGCCCCCACCACATGGTATCATGTATTTCTTTTAAGATAATCACTTCACTTAATCCTAATCAGAAAGACTAAAACCTTAATAATATTATTTTTTTTTTAAATTTTATTTTTCATCTCCTCTATGTTGTTTGCCGCCCAAGAAAGATCTATTGTAAGCCATAACTCATAATAAACTATAGTTATTTCTAACACTTGTTTTTTTGAATTGTGTACCAAAAAAAACAAAAAAAAAAAACGTCAACAAACAAATACTAATGAAACATAGAATTAATATATGTAGTGAAAGTTGAGTTAAGATCTAAAATTGAGAAATTTATGAGGTTTTAAGGGATGGGAAGAAGGTTGGGTTGGGCCCAACCCGAGCCCAACCCAACCCGAAATTGACTTACATGTTGGATTGGGCTGGGTTAGGGTTGAAGGAATTTAGTTAGGGTTAGGGTTAGGGTTACGGTTGGGTTGGGTTAGGATTAGGATTAGGGTTGAGGTTTAGAACTTAGGGTTGGGCTAGGGTTGGCCTCAACTCGACCTAACCCGGCCTGACTTGCAGCGCTACCTGGGTTGGGTGGACCAATTTTCTTGGTTTCTTAATGGGGTTTTGCCAGTAAAGGCCTGACTCGCCCCAAGTTGCATTTGTAATTTGATTTTGTGGCATTTTGTAGGAATGTTGTATCTGCCTTTCGACCTACGACGATGGAGCTGAGCTGCGCGAACTTCCATGTGGTCACCATTTTCACTGTGCCTGCATAGACAAATGGTTGTATATCAATGCTACTTGCCCCCTCTGCAAGTACAACATAATAAAAAGTGGCAGTCAAGGTAGGGAAGAAGTGTAAAGGTCAGTCAGGTTAAGGAGTCGCAGTCGCAGAACCTCTTTGTAGATCGTGGTATATGTGCTTTGTACGCTGACTTGTGTTCATGCTGTGGTATAATACTTTGTTCCAGCGCCTGTGTCCTTGTGTTGCACGGTTGAGTGTGTCCGCTGGCACTTGACGGTTCAGTACATACTACATTGGCTATTGATGCAGGTTTTGTCGTTGTAGGATATGTTTTTCTTTTTTCTTTTCAATTTGGTGATCAAGTCCTATAATTTGTTTCTTATACGTCTTGTAAGCTACAAAGGAAACAACCGGTACCGGCTTGAGTTATATGTGGAAGGCTATTTTCATCTCCTTTTATTCATGAAAAGTGATAAAGTTGTTTAGAGGAAACTATACTAATTTAATACATGCGGACTCAAGTTACGTGGTTCAGAACTGAAAAGGGATAGCGGTTGCTACTTTGGTATGGCTGCTGCGTTTGTTTCTCTGTAGATTTGATATGCCCGTGTTTAACACTGAAATATTTCAGCTATTATTCCTGTTTCTTCTACAGGAAAAAAATTTGGTTTCCAAGCTTTCTCATTTGTTTTGATGTAAATGACAAATGGGTCATTTTTCCATTGTTAACTACTTAAGTTATGAACACTTCATCTCATTTAGATGGGCCAATACTTTTTTTTTTTCAATTCTTAGCCCTTCTAATCTCTTCCACTTGCAACAGATCTTTTTTTTTTTCTTATAAGCGCGATTGGTGGTCTTCTATGTACATGATCAAATCATCTCAATTATTTTCTCAATTTATCATCCAGTGGGGTAACCTATAACACCCCCCCGTGGCAATGAGATTATTTGATCCTAGGTCCTTGGTACAAGTTAGAATTTATGTGTATTTTTTCTTACAATGTAAATTACATTTCATATTTTGATTTATGTCTAGTATATCAATTGCAACGTTTTAGTTCATGGACATTGCTAAAGGCATGTGTTTCTTAGGTGTTTATTCCTCATTTATGACAAATTAAGTTGTAAAATATAGAAAAAAACCCATAAAATCATTGTTGCTTTGTTTCCTGCACCACTATATCCTAGACTTTCCTAGTGCAATCTTGTTACATCTATAAATTGCCTTTCCCAAACAATACCTTCATACCAGCACTTCAACCTTGTTTGCTGGTGATTCCTACTCCTTTTGTTTTAATGTTAAGTGCAAAGGACCATGGTTTTTAAAATCGGATTGAACTGTATGGTTGGATTGGAAAAACCGGGAATTGGTCATATGATCGGTTCGTTTTACCCCAAAACCGTTATTTTATTAAAAAATGTTGATTTGGTCAGCAACAGGCTGTTTGGATAGATGTTTTTATTTTTTTGTCAGAATGGATTGTCTGTTCGGTTCAAACGATCTGACTATTAGACCTGGGACCAGACCCTTGACTAGTTCATTGTTCGATTCAGTTTTAAAAACCTTATAAAGGACTATTAGCATGGGCATGTTAAATGATATATGCCTTTGATTGTAGTTTAGGTGCCAAAAGGATCAAGATAGCATTAGAGGTGTAAATTGGGCTGGGCCACTTGTGGCCCGACATGAAATTGGACCGGCTTGGCATGATTGTCTACTGGGTCGGGGGCCCATCCAAAAACTAGCCGTTGCCCCCCTCCCCCAAGTCGTAAGTCCCCCCAACGGCTAATTTTAGCTTTTTGGGGGAGGGTTTACATAAATACCCCCTAACAACTATAAACAATTATATAGGGGGTATTTATGTATTTTTCTTATAGAGGGTAGAAAAATGACATAAATGCCCCCCAACAGCTATATAACAACTAGTTTAAGGGGGTTTTTTGGGTAAAGTTATAAACCAAAATACCCCTCCCAACAACTACAAAACAGTTAGTTTTTAGGATAATTTGGGCAATTGAATTATTTTCAATTCCTATAAATAGCCCTATGGCTCCTATCCTCCACCATTCTCTTCTCATCACACCCATTCAACAATCAACATCCACAATTCTCTTATTCTCTTAATCTCTTCAGTCTTCCCTCTCTCAGTCTCTCTCAGTCACTCATACATTCTTTGCAATCTGAGTGAACTTTGATAGTCTCATAGTCTGATTGGCTGATTGTTTGATTCTCCAAGTTAGTAATTTGGGAGGCTTGGAGCCTTGGACGTTGAAAGGTTTTAACCGTTGAAATCAAGTCGGGATTCTAAACCGGCAATCTGGGGTAAGTCCAATTAAATTAATTTTATTTTTTTAGAATTAAAAAAAATGGCCAGCTCTTCCCAAAACCCTAAGTTTAGTAGCCCGATTTGGAAAATATTTAAAATAGAGAATGTTGAGGGGAAGGGGAAAAGATCAGTTTGCCAAAAATGTAGAAAAAACTTTAGCTATTGTAGCAAGGGTGATACTGGCCATTTGACCAGACATTTTCTCACATGAGAAGGAAGAAGAAATAATCCAAAACTTAAATGGATTGTTGAAATAATGGAAAATAAATTTTAAAAGTATTGGGATAAGTCAGAGAACATTTCTCGCTGCTAATCCCGCCATGGCACGTGATTCGTGATCTACTAACTCCTCCGGTGTCTACAGGCTATAGTTCTATCAGAGTTTTGTTTAGTTGTTTTAGTGTAGGACCTGTAGGTACCACTGTACCAAGGTTGGATAGATGTAGTCATGATGCAAAATATAGATTACAACTTTACAATTACAAGACAAAGACGTGCATGATACTACTACATACACTGGATATTTCACCTGAAGCAGATGATGAAAGTGTGAATGCTTTCATCATAATGTATATGTAAATTTTGTTTAAATTGTAAATTTTAACAAATAACCCACAATTTTTTATTTTTTTTCAAATTATTGTAACTTTTGTTTTAATTTTACTTAATTTATTTGCTATTAATGTAATTTTGTATTTTCAATTTGTAACTATATTGTATTTCTTTATATTTTATTAATTTATTCAATTTTCATATTTCATTCATCCAAGTATGAAATATGAAGTATCCAACCATTGTATATTTCAATATTTGTATCATTGTATGCTTTGTGATTTGTATCATTATTCATTCAAATTTAAATGAAATAAAATTCTTATTTGAATTGTTTTATACTTTTATTTGTTCATTTCTTGGGTAATCGTAAATTCACAATCCATAACCATATCCATATCCATTCAGTCTAGCTCGGTTTGGCCTAGGCCCAAGGCCCACCCCTGTGGCCTAGCCCGACACAGGCCTGGGCCGTGGGTCATGCCAGGCTGACGCCCAGAATTTTCATCGGGGAAGGCGGCATGGCCCACACTTTGCGCGAACCGCCCACACAGCCGGCTTTACACCTCTAGATAGCAGTGACCATAGGATCTACATGAATAAACCAAATGATAAGCATTTGGACTTTTACTAAAATAACATCATGATGAAATATCATCATTCATAAAAAAACAAGGTTCTATTTATTTGCAGTGCAAATTTAAATTGAATCCAAAATTTGCACTCAGTTTAATTTTGCTTCTGTTTATTTGTAACTAGGATTTATAGTCCTATTTGATACAAAATTTGTACTTTGTATCTCATTTGTATTCATTAGTTGTGCAAATTTTGCATCTAAAACAGACAACTGATACAAATTTTGCTTCCTACCTCCCAAACGAAAACCCTCCTACCTCTGTTCTCTTTCATATAAGGTGCGGCCTACATTTTATTTCTCACAAACAAATAAAGCAAGGTTAAATCTGTAGCAAAAGTAGATCAGAAATAATACCCAACCTAATTGCAACCATGTGAATTTACATCAGGGCAAATATGAAATACAACTAAATGAAGATGCAAATTTAATCCATATCCAATGTTGTAATTTTATTAAAGAATCAGATTTTGAATCTCAAATAAACTACTGTTAAGTCATTTTGTCAGGTTAGCTGATGACCTAGTAATTGATGAGATGATTGCATGGCACCATGGAAATCAAATTTGCTCCACACACCAATCTCACAGCACATCACAGTCCTGAATTGGGAACATCTCCTATGACAATATACAAATATGGGACCCAATGCATGGCTGCAAGTGCTGTGAAGTTGGTGCGACAGTGAGCTATGAGGAGCAAATCCAAATTCCCCCTCTAATGAGTTTGCATTCTATGGACCATTGGGTCATCCTTTTATGTGTACCTTCCAATAAAATTTTGCTATGGATGGGATCATGGCAGATTGGATCATAATCCAATCTGACTATTTGGTTGAATTCGAACCATCCTAGTTTGAATCTTTGGATCGGATCAAATAATAGGATCTAATTAGAAACCAGATCAGATACGAATAATCTCTTATCCGAACTGAGAAGATTCGATCCGATATATATACATACTATTTATTTATTTATAAATATATTATTTATATTTTATTTTTATAAATTTGTTATCTTATTTATTTATTTATAAAAACATGTATACATGTGTTGAAAATAATTAAAAAAAATATTTGTATTTTTTGTTTTTCTTTATTTAAATTCCTATATTTTATTTTTATTTTAATAATGTATTAATTTTTAAAGAAAGCAAATCAGATTGGATTAGATCCGAATATCCGACTTCCCGATCGGGTTCGAATTCATATCCATATCTATTAGATCTGATCGGATCAGATCTGCAATTAATAGTGTTGCATCGGATTCAGATATATCCTAATTTGAATCTGATCTGATCTATTTGCATCCCTACTCTACATATTTGCATTAGAAAGAGTATAAATACAAATATGTAGAGTGCAAAACCTTGTATTTTGTATTATTTTGTATGTATACAGTATACATATTTGTATTTGTAGTTTTTCCAAACTGAGCCTTAGTGGCAGTTAACGACGAACTCTGCCTCCTTTGGTTTTTCGTTCAAGAGAACACACGATTAAGGGTGTCAATGGACCGGTTTTAGATTGGACCCCGTCGAGTCCAAAATCAATTTGGACGGATTGGACGGGCCAATAAGATATATTGGATTGGACCAACCTGGTCCAAAATATTTATTAGATTGGATTAGACCTGGTCTGTCCGTAACAAATTTATATTGGATAGGTTGGATTAAGCCAATATCTGGTCCATTGATATAAGACAAGCATATATGTGTCAATGGATTGGATTTGGGTTGAAACCAATCTAAATCAAAATAAATTTAAACAGATTGGACGGTCCAGACATTGAATTGGACCGATCCAAATTGATTCAAAACATTCATTGGAAGATTGAATCAAATCCAGTCCAATTGACACCCTACACACGATTGCAGAGGTTCAATGTTCAATGGTGTCCAAGAGCACTATAGACATAAAATCGGATGTCGCTGTTTTGCTACTCTATTCTCTCTCTCTCTCACCGTCTTATCACGCTAAAACAACTACTTTTGAGTCCGGCAGAAAAGAAGCTTTTTTCCTTCTGAGACTGTTGAACTCGAGCAAGAGATTTTCATAAATGGATGATGCTTAGGGAAATGGATGAAAATTTTCATGGATTTGAAAAGGCTAAGAAAGGCGACCATGCAATCTTGAATACCCCCTCTCTTTTTCTTCTTCTTCTTCTTCTTCTTTGTTTTGTTCCCTTCGTTTCCTGACCTTTGGTTTCTGGGGTTTCTCGACTTCTGTAGGAGAAGGTTAGCAATAAGAGCTGGAAGTGGAAAAAGTATATGAGTAGCATTCTGTAACTGTTCAATCGATCACATATAGGTCATTGTAAACATTAAGGGGGCACTCTACAACATGAATGCTTTTGTTGTAAAACAAACAAAAATATGTTCTTGAACCCTGTTTTTGTTTTCTAAGGGAAAAACAAGTTAGTTTTGTTTCAAAAAACAGCATATGATTTTAGAACCAAACAAAGTATTGGTTTTTTAAAACAAAACAAAATTTTTAGTATAGAAATTATATAATTTATGGAGCATGATGTTGAATAATCAGATGAAAACATGTTTTTGAAACTAGATTCAAGAACATGTTTTGGATTTTAATTTTGAAAACAGAAAACACACACACAACTAGGGGTGATCAAGAAAAACAAAAAAACCGAATCGAACTGACGAGAACGAACCAAAAATTTCGGTTAACCAAACTGATTGTTTTGGTTTTGGTTGACCAATATTAAAACCCGGCAGTTAACTTGAGTGGTATATATTATATATTATATATATTATAAATGAGTATATATGCATTATATATACAAATATATATTTATAACATACAATGTATTATTTATTATATAATATTTTGTATGTATTTTTAATTTTTTATTATATATTTATTTATAATATATATTATAAAAATCAGAAAATCAAAAAACCAATTAATTGAACCAACCGGCTTTGGTTTGGTTTCAGTTACCAGTTTTCCAAAAACTAGTACTATCAATTTGGTTTAAAAATTAGGCCCACAATGGTTCAATTAACCAAATCGTGAGCACCTTTACAACCAAGAATATGCTTTTTGTGTTTTTGTTTTAAGAAACAGTCATTTTTTTTTTTAAAACTGATAAAAATAAAAACAATTCACGCTGTAGAATGCCCTCTAAGTGATCATGAACTTGTGTCCAGCTGAAACCTCCAACCTTCAATCACTGGCTTAAGGTCTAGTTTGGAATGTTAATATTCTTTAGTTGGTGTCGTTTCTGATGTATCTCATATCTCATTGGTTAGTGGATGCTAGCCTCAGCTTAAAACACTTCATTGAAGAGTTGACAATGAGTTTGTTGTTCATGGGCCATCTGTTGAATAGGGCAGACCTTAATGGGACGTATTACCTGAGACGCAAGTAGATGGTCGATGTTGAACGGAGTGAACTGTCTAATTCCATTCAACATTTGAACCTCTGTTTTCTGCAACGCTCTCGGTTGAAAATCAGAAAAGGAGGCAGGGCATGTCATAAACTGCCGTTAAGTTTGAATCTGTTTTTCTAAATGACGTGGCAAAATTTTATTGGAAGAGTTCAATTTAAATCAAGCTTTGAGTTGAGTCCGAGCCCAATATATAGGCTAATTTGTTAATCTAGTCAAGTTCGGTTATATATTATATACAAAGTAAAAAATAAGTTTTTTATAGAAAATTTAATTCATACAACCTTTTGAAGTTTGAACTCAAGTCTCTAGCTCGAATTGAGTTTGAGTCTCATAATTTTATGACAAAGCGAGCTTGAATAACTAGATATTCAGCTTAATTCGACTTGAATTCACCCCATCCCTTGAAACCATTGTCGTTGGATTATCCTTCGACTTCCAATAAAAGATGGCCGTGCCATTCAATTAAGGAATATTCAAATTCATCAGAGATGAACGTTAAGGGACGTACCTTAGCATTTATATGTGTAGTCTGAGAAACGCTTCTATGGCTGTGGTTGTAGTTTATTATAGATGTTCATGTCAAATGGAGGTCTTTTGATTTCTATACGTCAGCAAGGAGGAGGAAGGTTTTTGTTTCAGAAATGTTGGGAAGATTTGTGATATCTGGAGGCTGCCATAAGCGATGGTTTCCTCCATCTCTGCTTTAGGCTAACTATATATGCATGTGTTGACTTCTTCGCAGTTCGCACCACTTATCGGGTTTCCTTTCAGCTTCGCCTCCATCGTCATCGCCCAACCGCCACCTCTAAAACGTCGGCAAATGCTCCCCAGGCGCAAGAAGATATATCATACTCAGTTTGTGGGGCTGGGACTAGAGGTGTAACTTTTCTGAATTAGGGTTAAGATTTTGTCAAAATTTCAATGAGCCCAATCCAAAATCCGAGCCCGTTAGAGTGTTAACTTTTTAACCCGGCCAACCCGACTTGCACCCCTAACTGAGACAGTAGCTTGATTTGTTGCAGCTAGCGAAATGTGTGTAAATGGTAGCCGGTAGGTGTAATGTTTGGTTTTCAAGTGAAAGCTAGCGCTGGCTGTGGTGGAGGCCTAAGGTTTTATAATTATACTAATTCGTAAAAGCTCATGATTTTAACAAGATAATCTTAAAACCAGACTGTACGTCTTCAGTTCTACGTGGATACGCTGCATGCCATCAATGGCCTAATTATATAAAGAGCTAGGCCGGCTATTTTCACTATACAGGATCTCATCATCTTCATCAACACATGAAATTATATGTATAGATATTGAGCTGACATTCTCGTTTACATTTATAATTAATATTTAGATAAATTAGATTGATTGATCAACAATGTGGCTGCATTCCCACCTGATTAATTATTTTTCAAGTGCCGAGTAGCTTTCAAAAACCCACTGCATGTCGTGGCATTCTCTTCTCTGTTCATGACTTTGTATTTCTGTTTTGGTCTGTGTGGATGATTTTTTTTTTTTTTTTTTAAGTTTGAAAGCTATCAGTCTATGACTTTTTTTATAACATATTGATCACGTTTATGTCTGTAAACGGATAGAATTCGAATCAGATTAAATCAATATTTGAATTCGAATTTCATTAGAAAATTCAATATCTGAATTTGATTTGCTATCAGATAGATATTAAAATTAATATTTGAATTCGAATTTGATTAAATATTTGAATATTCGATTTGATTTGAATTCGACTAATTAATTATTTTAGATAATTAATAAATATATAAAATAAATATTTTGTTTATATAAAATATATAAATATATAAATTATTTATAGAATTCAATTATTGTATATATAAATTATATAAGACATTTAAGTATTTTATATATTATATATAAGAATTAAATAATTCATCGAATTTAGATATTTGTCGAATTGAATCAGATTATATCCGAATTTGAATCTAATTAACTATTTGGAATAAATAATATATCCGATATTATTCGGTATGAATAAGACACCCCTAATCACGTTAGATGCATATTTATTAATTTATTGTTAATTTGTTACCAAGTCTACATATATGTTATTAAAGGTTAAACAGCTATTCTCGTTCTGATTCAAAGCGAAGTTTGGTACGTATCATGTTATATTTTAAAAATAGTAACTTTTCAACCCAAGGAATTGAGAAAATGTTGGCACAAAACAAAACATTATTGGACAATATATATATCACTGATGAGTTGGAAGTTAGAACACCTCAATTACAAGGAAAATGTTTTTCAGGATACTCAAACGGGTCCGGATGTAGTAGGTACGTATATTAGATAAACACAATGAGTGAACACGTAATAACTGTGTAACACATGTCTCAGTTAATATGTTTTTCATCCAAACATTTTTGTTTCGTTAAACAAAAATTATTTATTATTTTATTATCTTTATCAAAATAATTAAAAATAAAATAACAAAAAAGTCGTTGATTAATTAAAGTCAAGGCCAAAAGGTGTGGCTAGCGCTTCCATGTTGCATGTATTTGAGTCAAAAACGGAAACGCGGCACCACGGTTTCAAAACACGCAGATACCATGCACTCGACTCGTTTTAGCGTTGGACCAAAACCGTAAATCATGGCCTTTGATGTATTATTGGCCCCCACCTTGATGTCATTTCTTCTTCTTCAAGGTGCGTGGATCACACTCACAGCAATACATCAAACACTGTAATTTCACAGTATAACCCAAATACAAATAGATTTAGATTGACGTCTCAGAATTTTCTCCCTCACGTTTTGACGTGGTCAAATCGGTCAAACTAATTCTATCATTTGTTAAGTTTCATCTCACTTTCCTGCTAGAATTTTGAATAAACATGCAATTCAATCGTCATCCATCCAGTTACGTATATGTACGTGGTTTTTTATTTATATATACACTAAGAATGACATGAAGCAATTATAGTATTATTTAGTTTAAAATTTATTATTTAATTATTAAATTAGAAAAATTAATATGAGTCTTACATTTTTATAATTTGCAATTTATTATGACCTATTTTATTTGAAAATCAGTATTAATTTATGTTGTTTTTAATATGATTTAAGAGATTTAAATATAGTCTTAAATGTAAACAATCACCCAATTTAACTGGCATTTACTATTTATTTTGAATTTTTTTTATGTTTTAATAAATAACCAAATTTGTATCACTTCAAAGTGTTTGAATAAATCATTTCTAAGGTAGTTTATTCTATTTGAAAGCGGAATTAATCACTTTTGAGATTCTCATTTTTTTTTTAAATTATAGTGTCATGTATTTGAATAAATTACTTTTAGCTAATGTAGTTATTCCATTTAAAAGTGGAATTACCTATTTTTGAAATTCTCTTTTCTGAAAAAATGGAACATTGAATAGGAGGTACTCTTGACTGACGGCATTACTCTAATATATATATAAATTAAATAATAGATGAGACGTGAGGGCAAATTAAGATCATATTGAAGGGTTTTTTATAGGAGGAGATCGAGACTCGAGAGACGAGGACTGAGCAATAGAAACTAAAAGCTTGTATTTTTCAACTGTAGTGGTTTCGTCTCCCTTTCGCCACAACTTCTCTCCACCACCCAGCATTCTTCTCAATGTTGTAAAAGGATTGATGCTATAAAAAGGATTGTAATGCATTGTTGATTCGTTCTGAAGTTACTAGTTTCAGAACTTATTAATTGGAATAAATGGAGAGGACATTGCTGCATTCCTTAGAATTAGAGATCAACGTTATCTCCGCTGAGGACCTTCGCCTCCGTCACCGGTCTATCAAGAAAAACGCCTTCGTCGTTGTCAGAACCGACTCCCACAACTATCGCTCCACCAGAGTGGACACAGAAGGCGGCAGTTACCCCTACTGGAACGAGAAGCTCAACCTCGCATTGCCCAACTCCGCCAAGTTTATAACGGTGGAGGTGCAATGCAAGACTGCTTCCGGCCGGGCCAGGTCGGTGGGAACCGCCAGCATTCCCGTCTCAGATTTTATCGGTGATTATACGCCTGCTTACTACTTGCACTTCCTAAGTTATCGGTTGAGGGAGCAGAATGGCGAACGTAACGGTATTGTCAATCTATCTATTAGGACGCTGGTGCCACCAGCTGCAGGATATGTACATCGGTCGATGATGCCCCAGTTTGTAGGGTTTAATGTCGCTGAGAAGAACTCCGGTGGGTTTGCTATTATGGGGATTCCGATGTCCTCCGGTTATAGCATGTAGTTGGGATGGATTTGTGTTAATTTGTTCGACCAGCGCTAGGAAACACAGAGAAACTGGACTACCTAAGACTACCCAAAAGAACAAGATTTTTATTTATTTATTTTTATGTGATTCAAACACAAAATTAAACCATTCTTTCCCTTATTAATTTCTTGTTTGTATAAATTATTCATTTTGTAAGTGCATGGCGATAAAGACCCCTTATTGGTTTTTCTCTAAAGAAAATATATGTTTGATTTAAAGGATTTTAGGGTTTTAGGAATTTGGGAGATGAGATTATGAGAATTTCAAATCACCTTATATTTAGGGTACTTTAGAAATTAATATTAAACTTAGGGTATTTTAATATTATCGGTATGTTCAAGGAATTATATGCATAATTCTGTATGTAAAAGAATTGCACCCTCATTTGAATAGAATTAAGGTGTTATTGCATAATTAGGTAGAAATGAAAATAATGGATTTGAATTTCTTTTCCATATACCTTGGTTACAGAGCTCGCACATCGTCTGGCCAGTGGCCACCCTCTCCCAAATTCATTTGAAACCGACGGTGCTTGGATTCCAAAATTTAATCAAATACAATTAATACTTTATTCTCTTCCCCTCTATTCTCTTCATCTCTCTCTTCCAAATTCATTTGCAGCGGCAAGACCCTCGCATCCCCTCTCTTCTCTTCACCTCCCTCAACCGTTGAATATGGCAAGGCTCACTGCTGCAACCCTTTTTGGGACACTTGTCATAAAGTGAATGAAAGTTGCTTCATGTTGAGAACCTGCATGTCAGGAGGATCATTAGCCCTAGGCTCACCGCAGTTCAGGAATTCCTTCACCTTGCTTCATGTTGAGAAGTTTTCATATCTATCATCCCTCCACCTCATTTCCCAAATCGAATTTAATCTCCCATTATTAACACCTTCATCATCGACAATCATCTCGTAGATTCTTCTAATTGGCGACGTTCACCCTTTTCTGTATCAATGCAAATAGCAATTAGCAAAACATATTATAAACCCTGGCCCTTCTACATCAAAATAGAATATTTCATCTTCGAAAGTTTCCTGTTGATATAATCTGTTGATAATATTTCTATCCACCACCCAAGCTGGACGATGGACCTTGCTTTTAATAAATTCATCATGAGCTTTGTGATGTGGTTTGGGTTAGTTAAAGAAAGAGCAAAGAACAATTCTAAACAATGTAAGAACTTGTATTTCTTCTATATGTCGACCAAGGAGTTTGGGGTACAATATATTACACAAAGGAATGAAATAATAATGGAAAGAAAGAAAAGAATAGGTAGTTGCCTATGAAAAATATTTTTTAAATGGTTTACTTTCTATTTCAGCTATTTTTAAACTTGAGTGAAAACCTGCATTGGTAACTTGCATTTTTGTAGAGTTACCATGTATATCTCTTTCCTTCCTATTGGAAACTTGCATTATTGTAGAGTCACCATCTTTAGAGCTTTCCTTTGTTACATTAGCCAACCCATAGCTTTGCTTAATACACCCCCTCAAGCAAAACTGGACTGGAAGCACATGAAGCTTGGACCATAGGAAGTCAAACCGAACTGGAGAAAGTGGTTTGGTAAACACATCAACCAATTGATCATCAGTAGGGATATATCGAACCACCATATTTTTGTGAAGAATATGATCATGCAGAAAATGAAAATTTGTGCTTCGTATGAGCATGAAAACCCGGATGCACAGCCAGATTCGTAGCACCAATCTTATCAAGGTAGAGAACAGGCGGAGAGGACTGATGAACACCCAAATCCCGTAAGAGAGACTGAAGTCATAACACTTCAGTTGTGGTATTAGCTAAGGAGCGAAACTTAGCTTCAGTGCTGGAACAAGCAATGATGGGCTATTTCTTAGCGCCCTAGGAGATCAAATGAGAACCAAGGAAAATACCGTAGGCGCCAATAGACCGATGGTTCTCAGGGTAGCCAGCCAAGTTAGCATCCAAAAATGCGACTAAAGATCTAGGAGAATTAGCAACAAAGAAGAGCCCAAAGTCAATGGTACCTTTGAGATAACACAGAATACATTTCAAATCATGAAGCAAAGTGACTGGTGCACCATCAACTGAGGGGACAAGAAGCAAAGTGACTGGTGCTGAATCTAGAGGTACAGAGGAAAGACTATCTTAAGTGATCACAGGAAACTGTTTCTCATAAAAAACCACATGTTTGATAATAATTTCTTGTGAAGTTACTGGGATTATAGCATTTATACCCTTTATGAGATGAACTGTATCCAATAAAAATGTAGCGAACAAACCTATAGTCCTTTTTGTGCTTGTTATATGGCCGAATAAGAGGATAACAAAGACAACCAAAACTTTGTAACATAGAATAATCAGGTTTACGGCCAAACAACCTTTCATATAGAGAGAGATTACCAAGAACTGGGGTAGGCAACTAGTTAATGAGAAAAAACACAGTTTCTGCTGCTTCAGCTCAGAAGGATTTGGGGAGAGAGGAGGACGCCAGTAGAAAGAGAGTGGACTCAATAATATGCCGGTGTTTTCGTTCAACACTTCCGTTTTGCTTATGAATATGAGGACAACTCACTCGATGCAAAATTCCTTCGCTGTCCAAGAAAGGAGATAATCTACAAAATTCTCCTCCCCAATCACTTTGAAACATTTTAATTTTAGTGGAAAATAAATTTTCAACATGTCTCTTAAATTTGAGAAATGTATCAAAAACATCTTATTTCCTTTCAAGGGGATAAATCCAAGAAAATTTCGAATATGCATCCATAAACAGACATAGTATCTATAACCTTTTGTAAACAAAACTGGGGTAGGTCCCCACACTTCTGAATAAACCAATTCCAAAGGTTGTGAAACACTACTAGAAGAAACAGACAAACTTAAACGATGGGCTTTGCCTAATTGACAAGCCTCACAAACAAAATTGTCAATGACATTTTCTGAATAGGGCAAACCAAATTTAGAAATTACTAATTTAACAATTTTTAGAGAAGCATGTCCAAGTCGTTGGTGCCAATCCTGAAGAGAAGCTCTTTCTCCAATTAAAACTTCGACTGAATTCTCTCTATCACCATTAGTGCTTGGAAACCGATAGAGTCCATCTCTATTAGGTCCTCTGATTAAAGTTCTCCCCATACGATCCTTCAATAAAAAGAAATCCGGGTGAAATTCAAACACCAAATCATTCTCTTGTAAATTTACTAACAGAAATCAAATTCTGTCAAAGAAAGAACATGATAAACATTTTTCATTTTAAATTGATGTTGATCATAATTTAGAGAAGAAGAACCAATACTCTTAATTGCCAAACCGTCTCCATTACCAATTTTCACTTGATCCATACCAAAAAATTCAGACTTGTTCTATAAGTTGTCAATGTTTGGAGTCATATGGTGAGTTGCTCCACTATTGGCGTACAGGTGGGATTAAAATTAGCTATTGAAACATTGTAGGAAGATATACCACTATGAAATGCAGTAACAAGATCTGGAGAATTATTATTGTTTTCACCTTGGTACGAAAGATCATGCTGTTTGTAGCACTTCAATACTCCATGTCCGGGTTTATTACATAACTGGCAAACAATTGGGTTACCTCTACCTCAACCTTGTCCTCGTGCAGGCTGATTGCCATGCCCCCTGCCTCTGCCGTGGCCATAGTTCTCTCTATAGTTTTGAAATTGAGGATTGTTATTTCTGTTCTTACTGCTATTATTTCTATTATTTGTAGCAATATTAGCATTGGGAGTTTCACTAGAGACATTATGTTGAATAAGCCATGATTCATGACTAAGAAGTAGAACAAAAATATCATTGATTCCTAACTATTTAGCATCGGTTCTGTTAGTAATAGCAGTAATGAGAGATTCATAATCACTTCCTAGTCTAGATAAAACATACAGAACAAGATCCTCTTTTGCTATTGGTTCAAAAACAGCAAACAGGTTGTTTGCAATAGTTGTTGCTTTTTGAATATAATCACTTATGGACAAGTGGCATTTCTTAAGATTTTAAAGTTGAAGCCTAAGTCATAGCACCCTAGATTGTGAATGAGAAGAAAACGATCTTTCTAAGGCACTCCATACTTCGGTTGCAGTAGAATCCAACAATTGGGGCCAATACGCCCTCTGTTAGAGATGCAACAAGCCAACTCAAAATGAGCTAGTCCAACTGAACCCAAGAAGAATAATTTGGGTTAAGAATTTTCTTACTGCTATCATTCGGATCTGGGATCTCCTCTGGTGGTGCGTTGGCCGATCCACCAATCAGACTCATCAACTTGTTTGCTTTAAGCTTTGTAAAAGTTGAGCTCTCCAAAGTGGAAAATTTTCTCCATTTAACTTGATGGTGAGATAAGGAGATATGCTAAGAATAGAGTTCATGGCCACCGTAGTAGTCATGTTCTAAAGATCAGACGTATTAGAGCTCATAGCTTCAAATGCATCAGCACTGTTTGTAGACATGATTGACCTTCAAGTCTTGGCTCTGATACCAAGTTAAAAAAAGAGCAAAAAACAATTCTAAACAATGTAAGAACTTGTATTACTTGTATATGCCGAACAAGGAGTTTGGGGTACAATATATATACACAAAGGAATGAAATAATAATGGAAAGAAAGAAAAGAATAGGCAGCTGCTTATTTACAATATTTCTTAAATGGTTTACTTCCTATTTCAACTATTTCTAAACTTGAGTGAAAACCCCCATTGGTAACTTGCACTTTTGTAGAGTTACCATCTATATCTCTTTCCTTTCTATTAGAAACTTGCATTATCGTAGAGTTACCATCTTTAGAGCTTTCCTTTGTTACACAAGCCAACCCATAGCTTTCCTTAATAGGGTTATTAGTTCATCAAACATGCACGAACGATGGAGCCTTGTCGTCTCCAATGGTTGAGTGGATCTGCTTACTACAAAATGCTGACCAAATTAGTGTGCATATAACACCACAGCTGCACGTTAGGAACATCTTGCCATGCATGAATGACAATAAATACAAGAGATGTTCCCAATGTGTAGCTATAGATTGTGTATATACAATATTTTGTGGTCAGTAGATCTGGGGTTCACGGCTTCAACATGTGATAGCTCTCTATTTATCTCTCATACAAGTTCGATTACTATTATTGCCTTGGTTTATGTTGACGATATACTTCTCACTTCCAACTCTCAAGTGGCCATTGATCATTT